AGGCTTATTACTCATTAAACTATTACTATTATTATTATTATTATCATCATCATTATTATTATTATTTCTTAACTCCTTTCTTTATTATTATATATAAAAATTAACATACAGTATGCAATGGGAACTAAATAATTTAAAATTGTTAGTCATTAAATTACTACTACTGCTTTATTATTATTATTATCATCATCATTTCTAATTTTTCTTCTTTCTTGATTATAAAAAAAAAAACATTTTAGCATTTACAACAGAAACTAAAATGATATAAAATTGTTAGATAAAAGGAAGTTGAATAGAGCCAACTTCATGCCTATCGTGCTCAACATGCCATAGAGAATAATCGAAATGGAAATCTAAGTTACAACCTTTTATTGTACTAAAAATTCTTTTAACTTTATGAGGTGTTTTCTGTGTTTAATTTCATGAATGTGTATTGGTATTTCATTCCATATTTTGGTGCCTACAGAAGTAATTAAAAATTTTCCAGTTGTAGTGGCTGCCTTCAGCTGATTATAGATTTCCCTTTGATTTTTGTCTAGTTACATGTGGATGTGTGATATGTGTATTAAATATACATTTAAATCGTACAATTTATCATAATAGAGATCAAACATAAATAGATACATAATTTGTGTAACATCAAATATATATTTGTGTAACATATAAATATAAAATATTTAGTTTGTTAAATTGTTAAACAAAGGAAGAGAGGGACAGGTAAAATCACTGTGTTATTGCTCTTACTGCCATTCTTGGAGTAGTATGATAGGCTGTTACTAAGATGGGTAAAATGCTGCCCCACACCTCTAGTCCATATGTGATGTGTGGCTGTTTAAACGATATGTGTAGCAATATATAAAAATAGTTTGTGAAAGTATGTGTCTTAACTTAAATATAATTATCACTTTCTTTTTAATTATGGACCTTGTTTTTTCTACACGACTTTTCGAATTTAGGTTTCTGTTAATGGTGAGTCCCATAAAAACAGCTTCTGTTAGCTCTATATCATCCCTTATTATTATTATTATTATTATTATTATTATTATTATTATTATTATTATTATTATTATTATTATTATTATTATTATTATTATTATTAATATTATTATTATTATTAACATTATTAATATTATTGGCTTTTCCCAGAAGTACTGGGAAAAGCCATTGTTGTTGTTCTGTCTTTTTTTTTGTGCATATATTTTCCTATTTTTTAATTTTGCACTGTTTTTTTTTTCTGGCCGTCACTTTGTTTTGAAATTTTGACGCACGCGTTACAAAGCACACGCGTAAAATTAGGGTACAGTACATTTAACATTGGCCTGAAATTAAGGCTCACTTAATACGATTTCAAAATAGCAATTTGTTAGGCTGATATGATCAATAATGTAAAAACGCAAAATTGCGCGTAGCTGCCGTCACGCACGACTGGTCACTTTGAAAACCTTACCATTAGTTGGAGAGATAGCTGACATTTATTTAAAGTATTGAGTGCAAAAGGTTTGAGTGTGCAGTTCTATTGTACTTTGCCTACAAATGAAGGAACGGGGCATCTTAAGTTGCGCAATCCTGGGGTTTGGTCCCTAAGGGTCCCAAAAGTGTGACCCAAAAACCCATTTAATTAAAATTTCGAGTGCAACATCCGTTTCAAGTTGGTTGCATTTAGAATACCCCTTAAAATAAAGGGGCGCAACTTAAGACGTGAAAATGCCTGGCATTATTAATTAAGACACAGACTAATTAACGGGTAATTAACGATTTAATTAAACTTTCGAGTGCAACAAAAATTCTTTTTGCAAAAAATAACTTAGTGACCTCAGACATTATAAGCACAACTTAAGACATGATTTTTCCTGGGGTTTGTAGATAAGATGGGGTGGTTTGGCGCTGAGGGTTATGGGAACCCTTAAAAATAGACTTCTACAAAAGAGGTAGTGCAACAATTTTGATGGCTGTTATGGATAGAACAGTATTTCAGATGGACAAAAATGTAATTTAAGACACATAATTGCTTGGGGTTACTAATTAAGACGCCTACTAATTAACGACTAATTAACGATTTAATTAAAATTTTGAGTGCAACAAAAATTCTTTTTGCAAAACATAATTTAGTTACCTCAGACATCATATCCACAACTTAAGACATGTTTTTCCTTGGGGTTTTTAGATAAGATGCTAACTGATTTAACACTCAGTTGACGGTTTGTTCACAATTTTAGAAAAAACACATCATAGATTACTTAATGCAATTAAGGTTCAGGCACACATGACATGAAATCCACAACTTGGCATGCTTTCCTTGAGGCTTGCTGATAAGAAACTTCCTCTTTAACATGTAGATGCTAGATAAGTGGGTTATAAACCTACGTCCTGGGGATTCCCGGTTGGAGAAGCCTCTTATGTGAATCATTGAAACAGAGACATTGCATGTTGTATGCACATCATTCCTTCTCAAATAATTCGAAATTTGTGCATAGATAACCCATCCCCCAACGTAGCGCGTTACTTCAATGGTTTATAGTACTGATGCAGGGTACATGGCATAGTTTCGAACGAAGCCGTTTAGATAGGCTATTGTGTACATGTAGTCCTGTGCTTTAATTAGTCAATATTGTAGTTTGTAATACAACAGTAGTCTTGCCATTTCCTTTACTGGCAACCTGTGGAAGAGGCATAGCAGTCAAATAGTATGGTAGTTGGGGCTTAGCATTGTGAAGATGGATGCAGATGGAGTTTGCGCGAATTCCAGTTGATCTGACCCTGGAGCAAACTATCAATGTTGATGCTGCCTCCCGGATGACAGGATACACCTCATCTACGAACAACTACAGTTCAAGAGTACGGTGGAGTGTTACAAAGAGCAACCGAGCAGCACTTGTCAATGAAGCTCTTACCGCAGTTGGAATGGGGCACACAAAAAATCAAACTGACCTCAGTCCAGAATCAAAAAAGACAATGAGGATCTCCAGAAGATCATCAGTCAGATTGAGCCATGTGCCAATCTGTTCTCACTTGACACAAGCTTGCCTCTCATCAACATCAGCACTGGAAAGAGTGTAACCGGTGCCACGAGTACATCACTGTTGAAGATTCCAGACGACGGCAAAAATAGGCATGAAATCTTTGTCAAAGAATGTCTCGAAAGTGCAGAACGTTTTGAAAAACCAATCCGCAGACATCCTCTTCACACATTTGCAAGTGAATGTGTAGTCAATCGTAAAGCAGGAAAAAGCACCAAAGAGGCACAGCTCAAAAGTACTAGTGCACTTCTCGGCCGCATTGCCTTCACAGCAGCAACAAGTAACATTGACCTGGAGCATGTCTTCTCATTCCCACTGACACCGGTGCAACTCTCAATGTGCCATAGTGATGGCACGATGACCCATACTAATAAAAGCAAGTTGTTCAAACTTCTGGAAGATACTGTCAGTGACCACGGTAGCCCAACATACGTCGGAACTCATATCATTGGTGGTAATTTTCAATTTCACTGCATGTCGCCAGATCAGCCTGAAACGTACGAAGAGCTTTCACGAAACATCCTGACTACTAGTTTGGCGTACAAGTCACAGAGGATCGACATCAACTTCGATACATATGAGAGACCTTCCATCTGTCTCTTATACACATCTAGATGTGTATAAGAGACAGTCCTAATACAGAGTATAGCAAGCTTCCTGACATTTCTTGTCGTGCACGAAAGCCAAAGTACAATAGAACTGCACACTCAAACCTTTTGCACTCAATACTTTAAATAAATGTCAGCTATCTCTCCAACTACATGTCTATTCCAGGCGATGCCAAAATGATCGATGAAGCGACCTTGTGCGTACCTCGTAGCAATTTTGAGATATCGTGCGAACAAAAAAGGGGAGAAATAAAAAAAAAGAAGATGAAGATGATGATGATGATGATCCTGACAATAACAAGAGGTGATCCACTCGAGAAGCGGATCACCAAAAAGTGATTGAAATACCAAATAAATGTTAATTATTTGTTATGTACAGTAGTAGTATGGGACGAAAATACCAAATGCTTTTGGTCTTGGCCTAACTACCACAAAAAACAAAGAGTAGTTCACCTTATATTAATTTGATGAATTAATCACTATTCTGTCCTATCCTGACACTAATATTATCTACAGTAATAAAATTAATACCTTCTGATGTTAAAGCTTTTACCGCTAGAACGAGCCCATTTTTTCTTAAATTTTCAATAAATTCCTCCATTTTTCCTTCACAAATTATGCTTCGGTGTTCTAGATCCATAATCAGAGTCCACACATCTGTATAATTCTTTGCAGTTTTGTTATATAGTCTACTTATCTTTACTATATCACCATCAATCAGTGCCATTCCAAGTTTCATAACTTTTTGCCTGTGAGGTGTGATTTTTGAGATTGCTACATCTTTAACATTTGGACATGATGGTATAAGATGTTTAATTTCTAATTCCAAACCCAATGTGTCTGTTACGTTTATGGTATCATAGAGGAGAGACAGATCTTTTGAATGCAGATTTCCAGAAGCAATCAACAAGTCCATCAAGTCCATCGTCCCAGAGGCCTTTGTTAAATGCGAGGTATTTTTCAAATGATCTCTGTACAAAACTTTCAGCATACTGGTGTATCCGTGGTTGTCATACCATTCCGAAATATTAACCAGCAACTGTTTTAAAGCATCTTTCGATATTCCTAAGAAGTAAACACATATAGGGTCAAAATGCACACTATATAAATGTATTCTTAAACCTGAATTTAGTACAAGATTTCAACAAGCAGTCGTGTACAAATTAAATTTACGACTCATAAATTTTATGTTAACAGTTAGCAATGAAACATTCCAAGAGTCATTAAATAGGCACGTGTTATCTTTTTGTTGTGTTGACAGTGAAGCCAAGTGACTGCAAATCAAAAGCTGTTGCATATACCTGTAGCAAGTTAGATAGTAATGTTGCCTACTAAAAGCTAATCTTGAATGTTTCATTAAGTACATAAGTTATTATATTTTAGGAATGCATACGATACCGTTTTTTATTTATTGCAATAAAGCGTTGGTAAAAAAATTTACAAATTAAAGTCGACGATTTAGCCTGCCTATGATAGTAATTGTTATTGTCGTGATGGAATAGTAGACAATAAGAACTGGATTTGCGTCAGGAGAAACATGTATAGGTGTAATTTTTGCCCTACCTGACGTAGAAATGTACCGAATACTCGGTACATTTGAAAACGAACTCGGAAAATCGGTATGCATAGGTATCAATTTTAGTCAAGGTCGCATAATATATTATTAGTTTTATTCGAAGTTGGTTTTACGATTATGAAATGACATAATTTTGAAGCCTAGGTCAAACTAAAGTTCGTTTTAGGAATACAGGGATAAACTCAATACAAAATACTGTGGACCTGCTGACCTGATAAGTAAACGTCTGAACTTTAAAATTATTCCACTTACTCATAATTGTTTATATGGACATGCTTTACACTATCTTTCCTCATCAATCTCGCAAAAATTATATTTTCATTCCACAAAACAGTCAAATTCTCTCAGGTTATCTGTTCCTAGAATGCTACATGTCGTTTTTCTTTTGCAGCTCCAAAATTATGGAATTATCTTCCTCCTTAAGCTTAGATTAACTACTGATACTTTCAAGACCCTCCTTAAAAATCTCCTTTGAAATACCAGTGACAAATTTTTTGTTTTCTAACAGGCGCTATACAAGTTCTCCTATTTTTTATTTTATTATTATCAAAAAATATATTAGCAACTTTAAAAAAAAATTAGTACATTTATTTTAAATATTTCATTTTCATTTTAAGTAGTAATTACCAAAAATGTTATCTACGGTATTTGTTGTATTTATCATCATCATCACCATCATTATAATTCTAACAGACATCATGATCAGCAACATCATTGTCATCATTATCATTATCGTCATCATAATCACCATCATTATCATATCATTATTTCTAGGATCTTTTTTTATATATCTTTAATATCAATATTTTTGTATCAAATCTTAAAAACATTAATTTTTCCCTTTAAATTTGAGACATGGCCCATGCTGGCTGCTAAAGATAATGCAAACAGCATGGACACTTTTTATGAGTCATATTACAATGATTTATAAAATGCAGCCTCCAATGTTTGATTTCATACCTTATAGAAGTCATCATAAATTTTTTATATCTATCTATCACTTACCTTCAGTAGATACCATGTTGATCTTCCTTTTCCTTTCCATTTAAATCTAAAACGAACAATAATTTTAACATTAAACCCTCTTGACAACCAGAGCCTTGCAGGCGTCAACGTTCCTATGCATGATACATGACTTTAAGAAGTATATATATGTGTATATATATATATATATACGTATATATGTATACGTATATATATATATACATATATATATATACATATATATACATATACATATATACATATATATTTATATATATATACATATATACGTATACATATATACATAATACGTATATTACATATTTATACACATATATATACACATATATATATATACGT